GTTTATTTATACTCCATAGGGACGTCCTTGGGAGAGTCACAAAAGTAGCACACTAAAATGACAAAGTAACCAATCACAGCCAAGGATTTTCCTGGTGGGAAATGTGGTCTCAGGGTCAACTGATTGGTCCATGAAATAAAACCAAAATAAAGATATTTATCAAGCGAGTCAGTCAGTCAGATGCAACATAGAACTTTGTACATAAGTACATCAGTTCATGTTGCCATACCACATCAGCACAGAGAAGTAATCGTCAATTTAAATCCAATAGTAGAAGAGGTAGTAAGGGAATTAGAAGTAATCGGAGAGGCTAGAATGAGAAGATATTATTCAAGAAGTATGATTTAATGAGAAAAGTTTGCAAGTCAAAACTAGAGGTGTTGAAGAATCCAGAAGATTAGGGTTTGAGAGAATACAGAGAATAAATGCACCGGCGCCATTGCGAACGATTTTGAGCCATGTCATTCAAGGTCTCTAACCATCGATTATCATCATCTCGCGGACCCCAACGACGTAGTCGACAATTACCGACATGGCTAAGTCCACTCGTCAATGACTTCATGGACTTCTGCCATGTTTTGGTTTGGCCGCCCCTAACTTTCTTCCAACCTACTCCTACACTACAAAACAAGGCTCGTCGAGGCAGTCGGTGGTTCGGCATACGCAAGACATGTCCCAACCACCTCAACTGATGAAGTTTCACCACTTCATCTATTGATCTGCCATCCTTACCTAGTACTCGTTTCCTAACGACAGCATTACTCACTCGGGTGTCCCACGATATACGAGCAATGCTTCGAAGACACCTATGATCGAAAACCAGTAACCTACGAATATCTTCTACTCTCATTGGCCATGTTTCACAGCCATAAAGTAAGACGGAGCGAACCACTGCGCAGTACACTCGTCCTTTATTCAGCCAACGGATATCTCGCCTACGCCATAAGTGACGCAGGTTGGCAAAAGTTAATCGAGCCTTCTGTATCCGAGCTGAGATTTCGTCAGTCACCAGGCCGTCGGCACTGATGAGACTCCCAAGATAAGTGAAGCGGTCTACACGTCCGACTACTTCACTCCCTATCACCAGTTCAGGTGCCGATGCAACCCAATCTTGAAGCAACAATTTGCATTTCGAGGGGGAAAACCGCATTCCGAACATGCGTGCATTGTTGCTTAGGTTAGTCAGAAGACTCTGCATTTTGTCAGCGTCTTCACCAAGTACGACTATGTCATCGGCATATTCTAAGTCAATAAGCGAGCCACTTGGTAGAAGGTCTACTCCTGAAAATTCAGACGAGGATAAGGTTACTTCTAGGAGCATGTCTATGATAAAATTAAACAGTAATGGAGAAAGTGGACATCCCAGACGGATACCACTTAAAGTAAAGAATTCCGATGACAGTTCTCTATAAGCTCTCACTCGACCAGTGGTGTTCGAGTAGAGAGCTTGTATGAGGTTAATGTACTTCTTTGGTACACCTTTCAATGACAGACACTGCCACAGAACCTCACGATCAACAGAGTCAAATGCCTCCCTAAGGTCCAGGAAGGTAACTATTGTCGGACGCCTAAATGTATGTCTGTGTTCCAGGACCTGTCTGAATGTGAAAATGTGGTCTATACAACCACGTCCAGGTCGAAAACCAGCCTGATTTTCTGTAGTCTGCTCTTCACGAGCTTTCGTTAAGCGTCGAAGTATTATTGAGGCCAAAATTGTAGATACTATATTAGTTAGACTTATTCCCCTGTGATTGTCACATGAAGACTTGTGTCCTTTCTTATAGATTGGGACAATCAGTGATTCAGACCACTCGGATGGGATTGTGTCCAGTTCCCATATTCTACCTAAGATCTCAGTCAATCTAACTGCTAAAACTGGACCACCATCCTTAAATATCTTAGGGGTCAGTCTATCAGGACCTGCTGCTCGTCCTCGTTTCAGATTTCCTAACGCTTTCTCAACGTCATTAAGACTAGGGGGGCTAAGGTCGATTTGCCATTCAGGATGACTGGAGATCGTGGGTAATCGAAGAGTGGCTCGTGGCCAGTTGAACTGATCCCTAAAGTGTTCTGCCCATCGATCCAGTCTCCTGGATTGAGAATGGATAATAAGACCATCCTTTTCCGCAATAGTATCACTCACATTCGGGTTCTTAATACCAGTTTCTTTAATAAGGCGGAAAAGTTGTCTACTGTTGCCTATCGCCGCTGCCTTTTCCATCGCTTTTGCTTTCGCCACCCACCACTGTTCGCGGTCGTTACGCAGACTTTTTATAAGTCTGCGCCTAAGCTGACTACGCTCTTCATCATGCTCAGAGTCAGGTGGGATGCGTTTTCGAGCATCCATCAGTTCGGTGGATGCTACTGATATCCACGGCTTCATTCTAGCCTTATGGTTTACCTTACTAGCAGATATCACTGCTGTTTCCACAGCCTTTTTGATATCATACCAATCTGCTTCTGGACGGGAATCACTTACTTCGTTGCTTAACTCTCTTTCTAGTTGCTCCCGAAATATTTTCTTAGTTTGATTATCATTAAGTAAAACCCTAAGAGGCTTTCTTACGGTGTCTTTCCTATGTCCGGTAAGCCTCAAACAGATACGAGCTCGCACTAGAGCATGATCTAAATCCAAACATGTGCCCCAGAACGAGCGACAGTCCTCTATCGAACCCCTCCATCGGTGGCTGATGGCGATGTGATCTATTTGAGTCCAACGTTGAGACGAATTCGGAGGTCGCTAGGTCAACAGATGCTTTTCCTTATGGCCAATGTTAATGTTTGCTAAGAATAGGCGGTTGTCTGAGCATGCTTGCAACAGACGGTCACCATTGTCTGTTCTGTGAGCCGCGACACCATTACATCCACCCAGGTATCTTTCATTTTCACTTAGTCTACCTACTTGAGCATTAAAGTCACCAGCCATTATTACTATATCAGAGCGCCTAGCTTTTTGGAGGAGGTCCGAAAGCTTTCTGTAAAACTCATCTTTAACCTCGTCTGCACTGCAGTCAGTGGGGGCATAGGCAGATACGACGAAGAGGCAACGGCGATTGTCCCTATCCTTACGAGTCCTTACTGGCCCGTTTAGTCGGACAGCGCACAAACGACTATCTCCTGGGATCCAGTCTAGAAGAGATAATTCTGCCCTAGGACTTAACGCTATGCCTACGCCAGCAAGACCCCTGGAAGCAGCATCAGGGCTAAAGGATACACGAAGAGTGAGTCGGGCTGCTTCTTCGTTTTGACAAGGTGGAATCAGGTTAATGACTTTACTAGGATCCTGTATGCGCGTTTCCGAGACGCAGCATACATCGATGGCACGAGATTCTAAAGTCCTAGCTAAGGAAGCCTGTTGCCCTATTTGACACAATGTCCGTACATTGAAAGCTCCAACATGTAGTCTAGAACGGGGTTTCAAGAGACCAGGAACGACGTTTCGTGATCTCGCTTCGTCTGCATTAGCGGTGCAGTGAGAAAAGGGAGTGTGAGTAGAGTTAGTCGTAGAGATAAGAGAGACATTAGGGGGTGTAGAAAGGATTTGATTTTGACCAATTTGGTCTCGCGTGCTGTTACGGGTATGAGGGCGGTTGTCACTTCCCGGCTGCCCACACTGTGGAAGGTTGTTTCTTGACGAACCTGAAAAGGAAGATGGATTAGTGTTGGTGCGTGACCGCAGAGTCCAAGGGACAACTGCTTCAGACAGGTCACGCACGGCCTTTTTATGAGAGGTATTTAGAGGATTAGCTCCGTTCTTAAAGGCCCTTATTGGGCACCCCTACCCAAGGAGACGGAAATCCGTGAGTTAGGGGAGGTGTGACATTTTTAGGGCCGACCTTTTCTAACCCTTCCTTCCTTGTGAGAAGGCAGCATCGCTGCAGATGCTGGTTGTCCGAGGGAAATACCGTACTGCTGTCACACCCCTCTGCAGTCAGCAGTACGACTTCACCCTCAGACCTTGAGTAGCTGCTTTTAGTCTCACCGTTCTCCAATCGACCTGTCTGGCATGGTAGGACCTGCAGGAACATATGTTCCAGCCAGTATAGCTCGGTTGGGTCATCACGATAGGCAAGCCCGACCACCACGTCAAGGTAGCAGCTACGGTCGGGTTCTGGGGATCTAACATCCCCAACAGTTTCGCAATAAACCAAGCAGTCATTGAAGTCCGATTTGTTCATCCTATCAGCGTATTATGAATCATGCCTAAAATCATTCATCTAACTGACCATGTTATCATGAACAAATAGGTATTTATCTTATTTCAATGTATAACTTATGAGTGTTTGTCACTAGTATACCCAATAGAAATGAATTGTCTGTTAATTAGTCCCTATGCGAATAGCTCACTGTTAAAGTTATTGACTGCATCTCTAGGTAACATAGGTTTGAATCCAAATACGAATGTTAGTTTTCACAATATTACAGAAATGCTTTACTACGGAATGCTAGAATGCAATTACGACTTTGTAACACTCGTCTCCAAGCGTCATTTATTGAATAAAGTCCTAACAAGCAACTACAACTTTCCGAAGACTGTTCAGTTTTTCCGTTTGTTTCAATGACGGAACAATCGTTGATATTACCAGGAAGCTGTGGTCATCTGTTTTGTCCTATTATGAATCTCTTTATCTGTGTACATCTATGACTATCTAGAGCTTGAATTCAAGACATTTAGGCTTTAGACTGCTGATTTTTCATCCAATAGTTTACATTCCTTATTTATTTTCACCATCTCATAATTATTGCACAATCATCATCTAATGTCTTTGATGGGAGGATTAGTCTCATCCTAGGACAAAACAACTGCCCAGTGCTTCCTGTTCTCCAATTATTGTGTAACTAACAATAAAAGACGGAATAACATTAATCATTTTGCAGAGGTAATTAGATCTTTTAATGTCTAATGTCTTAATTGTTCAAAAATGTACACTTACTAACATTAACTGATTAGGTTGGGGACCAAGAACACTATTGGATCGTTTATTTACACGTGCTTATTTAATTGACGATTCAACAGTATCAAGATATTCTGAAATGATATTTCGTTTACGTATGAATCGTTTACGCGATGATCTACCGGTGCCAGTCAAAGTAGAATATTTTTGTTTACAACAAAATGAACTACAAAATTTCACGTTATCATCTTCTCAGGTATTAAAATAATTCAGTTTTCTTTTTTTTGTTTTGTTATTTTCATTGATTAATTATTAGTTTCGTGTTATAAATGAAAAAAATATTATATATGTGGTTATTTAGATTTTAATAGTGTTTTAGTTAAGATTTTCAATCATCTCTTGTTGATATTCATGGATGTAACTTACTAGTATCTGTTTCTAAATATACATCCTGAGTAAATCACCAGTGTATAGTTTTATATCACAAATTTTTTAGTATATTTAGTTTGCAACTATCCGTTTGAATAAGACCATGGGTTTTGTCCTAGTTGAGATTTATCAGGCGAACGTAACTGTCTCAATTTCCGTCCTCAATATCAACGAGACAACTCAACCTCTTAATAGTTATGATATACACATATCTATTGATAAAATTAGTGTGTATTTCAACTGAACAACTCATTGAATAACATTGTGAGTGTGTAAAATAAGGGAAATCGATGAAAGAACTAACAACATTTATTATGGTTCTGATGGATGTCGACATAGTAAGAAACAATTTAGGATTGAGGAAGATTTTCAAATTGTTTTATGAATCAATCACCAAGGGATGAAGCTTTCAGTACACTGAATTCTAATTTCGGTGCACGAAAATATTCAACGGTGATTATAAAAATTCATTTCTAGCTTAATTCTTGTTGTACCCATAGTACGTATCAAGTTTCTTAACATCTAGCATTTTTTTAAGTGCTTGTTTGACATTGCGACATCCGTAAATCTAAAGTTTTTTTTCTCGCTTTCTTACCATATTTTAACGTTTCATTAGTCAAATGTTAACATAAACCAAACAAAGCAAATGGGCTTTTTCAACCACAACTGTACATATAATAGGACGTCTAAACTGACTTCGTGTATTCCACTACAGAATTCTGTGAAATCAAATCAATTTATTCCAACTACTTGTGCCTGGCATAATGGTTTTGATTTTCCACCGGATGTTGAATTATCGAATAACATTTGCAACAATGTTGTTCTGAAAGTGGATTATAAGTAAGTTTCCCCTCTTTTATAAATTACAAATTTCTGGATAAGTAAAGTAGGAGGATAAAATGTATGAATAACTATCAGCATAAAGTCTTGTAAAGATTATAAAATTATCATAGTTTTTAGACCACTAATTGATATTAGTAAGACAATCACTGAATAACAGAAACTACTGGACAGTCGTTTCATTTTAGTATGGGACACCATAGCAGTTCTCCTCATCCACCCATACCAGGGTACGAGATCCAACTCTTCTGGTCTCTTTTTTGGACGCTTGACCCCGACCACGGTTTTATTCCGTGGCTTCAATCGATTCACGATATTGTATAACTCATTTCCATTGATAGATAACTGCTTGACTGGTTATGATTTCTAACGAGATCTTCAGTAGTCGCTTCTTGAAGCGAATCACTGGTAAGCAAACTATTACTGTCAATAAAGGGCTTAATGGATTGAAGTAAGAGTTCAGCTCTTTTGAATCCCAAATCAGAAGCCTGGAGAGTAAGCGTGCGCGTGCGATATGAAAAGTTCTGCGCTCAATTACAGGTTGTGGGGTCATGCATGTTCACAACTGAGGAGTCCCTCAGTAGGACTTAGTGAGGGTTAAATATCCAATAAAAATATTTCAGTTTGAGTATGTAATTTATCTGTTTTTGAGAAATTCCTCTTTTGGAGCTCTGGCAAGGTTTGAGGTAACTAATGTTGAAGTAGTGTAAGCTAATTTCTTTATATTTATAAATTTAAATGTTTATAAATTGGAATAACCAGTGATCAGTATGAAATTATAGACATATCGCAACATACATTTCTATATGACTCTGTCCACTTACCTATGTGTATAAATCACTAGATAATATGAGTAAATATTATTCACTTGAATTTATAGCTGAACCGTAATAGTATTTGATAAAATCAAGTTTTTAAACTTACCTAATTATATGCACCGGATGCTTAGGTTGATTTTGTAAATAAATATTATATTTTAAGACTCTTCAAAATTCACC